ATCTCTCTCCCCCCCCCCCCCCCCATAACAAATCTTGGTTATCAAAACTTTTTGTTGATCCAAAAGAGAACACTATAATGGGGAAAAGAGGAAGCATACAGGGAAAAGAATGCATGGATAGAGCTGTAAGGACTGACTGCTGCTATTGGTTTATTTTTGTAATCCAGGAATGAATATAACTTCAGTCTGGGTCTGTCTGCACATGGATGCTCAGAAGATCCGACCAAATGAACTAACAGATACATCCCTCTTAAATGTCTCTAAATTAAAATGCATTAACATGACCATATGTAAAGTGGGCATCTGACAGCAGACATGTAAGGAATTATTACGTTATAACTAATGCTCATTAACTCTTTTTTTTTTAGTTGAATTTCTCAACAGCCCAGTTAAATCTGGGGTTTTTTTTTTGACAAATTTGAAGTGCTTCCATGCCAACAGGGTCTGACATAGTAAAGCCTTGAGTTCATCTAGAAAAAGCAAATAATTCTCAGTGTAAATTGGTTCACAACATAAATGACCATGCATGCAATTAAAATCATAGAACATAGAATGGTTTGGGTTGGAAAGGACCTTAGAGATCATTGAGTTCCAACCTCCCTCCCATGGGCAGCAATACCTTCCACTAGACCAGGTTGCTAACCTAGTCTAATGATAATGCTAAATGCTCCTAACTAGCCCAATATCTACTAACAACTAAAAAAAATATAAGTGGACAATGTGTACATAAGAACAATATTGTTAAGGATACCATTAAGATACTGTAGATACTATAGATACTTTGAATACTCTTCGAAAGAGGATATTAGGGTCACATTCTGGGACAAAGGAAAGGTAAAGTGTAGGCATAGAATAATCCTTTAGTAAATTATCAAGGAGAAAAACTTCCGGTTATTCCAAAGGCAATAGTATGCTGTCCAAGCACTTTTCATTTCCATCTTAAAAAAACAATATGAAATATCAAATCTTTGTGGTATTACCTACAAAAAGAATTATTCAATTGAGGCAAGACAGTTTTTCATCCCTTCATTAACAGTTAAGGGGTTTAGTAATTTTTTAATTTTTGAAGGGTGTATTCATTTGTAATATCATTGGGCTGCAGGAGCATATACAACAAGTCTGGTTGGGATATGCAGTCTCAATGACAATAGTGCAGTTACAATACAACCAAATAAATGAAATGCATGTGAGAAAAAGGTGTGAATTCAAGGCACATCATTCTATAAGTCAAGCATCTTAAAATACTCAGGATCTGATTCTCAGCATAACATGAAATACATTGTGTTCTTTCGGATTATCTGATCACGGACTCCAGTACATTAACTAATAAGTATGAGTTTAATTATTAGTTTTTATTTACCTGTTGTTGTCTACATAACGTATCAACATTGGATAGAAGGCGTAAAGGTCTCTGCAAAGAACAGCAAATTCATCGAGAATGAGTAGCTCAGCTTCTTGGGTGTCACTTTTACTGTCTGCTCTCAGTTGCTCCTCTTCCATCACAATCTTTATAGCTTTCTTCTTCAATTTCTCCAGTGTTGGAATAAAGTGAGTTTTGAGGAGATCAGGCCTGGCTTTGCTGATGATGGGTTGAGCATAAACTATACATAAAAATATAGATAATCCTATAATTAATGCACAATTGAAGTTTTTCATCATATTAAAATGAACTCCGCAGTTCTAGAAAACATAAGGGTCCTAGTGCATCACATATTCCTCAAGCATCATAAAATTATTAATAATACTATGAATATAGCTTTGTTACAACTGTGTATTGAGAGATTAAAAGCTAGTTACTGTGAATTCAGATTATGTTTTTCAGTCTTATGTCGAACTACCATGGTTTTGGCAAGTCATGTGTCTAACTTAGAACCTAAATAAAGCAGGGATTGAAACACAAAGTCCTCACAAAAACACGGTCGGCATTTTATTGGTGGGTTTTTTTCATGTGTGTATTTTTTTTTGTATACAATGTCAGAAAATAGTCAGAAGACAGTGGTCTGGAAGAATTACTTTACCTCTTTTGCCTTGGGCAAGCTAAAATGCAGAGAACGAATGACTCATTCAGCATCATATATCTATTTTGTACATGCATTAGTAATAAAATGCAGACCATCTGAGTCAAAAATCCTTGCAATAACCACACTAGTACATCATCTCTTCACACAGATAAGCAGCCACTACAAAACTGCAAGCAGTGGTCTCTACAATTAAGCAGCAAACTTCTTACTAAATGTTAATGGAACCTTATTATTGAAAACCTTCCATTATTTAAAATAATACTGAAAAGCCAGTACCAATAGGGTATTAAAATTTAGCAGGAAATTATTACATTTACATAGATTTTCTTGAAATTCTTGAGTCTTATTACACTGTTTAAGACGAAAGATAAAATTTGGATACAGTCAATTTCTTCAGCTAGCTAGCTACTAAATGTTACAGGAAATTTTGAGAAATATTCCTGCTCATTTAATGGCTGGCACAGTTAGTCACACAAAGCAACTAATTCTGAACCTGGGTTACTTCTGGCACTATTTCACCATATACACTTCCTTTCCCTTTTGTCCTGGTGTTTCATGACCAGAATTCACAGGACTTATACCTGCTACTGCAATACTTAGTTCTTAGGTGTCTTGAAAATTCATTGAATTCACAACTCCAAATTAAATGCTAAGGCTCTTATACAGTGCATAGAGAAGGTAACATTTTCAAAATCCATTATGTTGTATAGAAAGCTCTCTGCTCACAATAACACTACAATGCATGCATAAAAGTAATAATTTTCAAAAATTATCTCTCATTGTTACTTCTCTACTCTTTATCTTTCTTTCCTGGTGTTTTTAATTACAATTCATTACACTGGGTAACATGGTAAAATGTAGCAAAATAACTAAATATTAGTTACAATTAATCTTTAAAAAATTTACGGTACCTGCTATTCTTTTCATCCAAGATGCTTCATCTATTCCCAGATTGTTGTTAATGATTTTCAGAATGTTTCCAAGAACTATGCTCAGATGCTCCGATGTTATCCTTGTACAGCAAGGCCCAGCACTTGGAGGAACACTCTCAGACCCTCTTTCCCACCAGTAGGATAAATAGTTGCACAGCATGGGTAAGATAACCTCAATTACATGAGGCATTTCAGTATACCTTGCTCCAGACTCTGCTAAATCATTAATTTCCTTTATTAGTCCATCCAGCTGAGGGATCTCTGGGCACATCTCTTCCACTGTATCAGGCATACCTAAAACTGCAAGTAAGGGTAGAAAAGCAAAAGATTAATTAAAAAAAAAACCACAACATCTACATTAATCTCTACTTAAATGCTAAATACAAATAACGTTGCCACTCAGGTTTTTTCTGTCACCAACTTGGGCAGATGTAACTATAGAAAGACTTTGGGGCATACACAGGTCTCTCATCTCACAAATTATGTCCTTCTGATAGCACTGATATGGACAACAGCTGCCATAAATCTATAGCTTTACCATAACGTGTCTTGCAATTATCTGGTGAGCAGCCCAGCTATGTAAAAGCGCAGAACTGAGAGCTTTTGTCAATATTGGATAAACTCTGGCCATTGTTTCTATAATCATTCACAGCTTTCAGGTCAATTTGAAAAACATTAAATCTGCCTTGTGGAAAAGGAAACAAGCAGATCAAAATTATGGGTGAGATTAAAATTAAACTGTACCTAGTTCACGAACTCTGCATGTCTATCTCTCAACAAAAATGCCACAAAAGAATTCCAGATGTTTGTATTAGAAACTGAAGGGTGCTTCAGCAATTAAGAACCCACCACAACCTAATGCCAGTCACTCTAGCAAAATTCTTCTTCCATCAGCGCTGTAGGAAGGAAGTAGGGCTGACAGGAAGGAAGTGGTAGCACTAGCTTTTCCATAACTTCTTTTATATGGAAAACATTCTGAAGCATACAGAATTGATCTACCTACATTGTTTTGTTTTTTTTTTTTTTTTAAAGGAACAATGATTTTGCAGGTAATGACTCTTACATGGATCAATGAGGAAAGTACTGAAATACTTTAAGATATGAGAGTCCATCAGGAGTAAGCCAGGAGAGAAGCAAACAAAGAAAATCTATGTAGAAAGACTCGTGCTCCTTTGATTAAGGTTTCATATAATCAAAGTCATATTCTCTCAGGAGCTGCCTATACCAAACTGCACTGAAGTACAGGTAAGACAACAAAAAATATAGATAATTTTCCTGTTCACATAAATAAGATATAATACCTCTTGCACATTTATGATAATAACACAACTGTACAATTTGCTAAAATTTTTTTTAACGCAGATATAATCTTAGCTTCAAATATTAAGTATGCATCTTCAGAAAATAATTCAAACATCAGGTTCAGAAAAATATCCAAATATACTAGGAGAAAGGGAACAATGTTAACACAGGCTCAACAAAGCAGAGCAAGGTTAAAATTACAAGTAACGAAAGCAACAGTAGGAGTTCTCTATCGAGACATAGATTTGGGTTTTTTCATTATTACAGTTTCTTTCTATTACTACTAGTTGAGAAGGAGCAAACAGGTTTTGTTTTGGGTTTTTTTTTTTTTTATGAGGAACAGTACTTACTTGCTCTTTCTCTTGCACTTTTTGTGTTGAAGACAGACAACGGATTGTAATGGTTGAGAGAAGGTTCAAGGAATGCTACTGGAATGGCTGCTGCAAGAGATGCTAAACATTCACCAAGTGCGGGACGCTGCCTGTATATGAGACACACTAAAAGTTACCCGAGAGGAGAAGTCTTACATGCATTATAAAGCAGCATTAACATTTATTGCTGATTTAGTACATTGCCGATTTTTAATACATTATGAACTATCGGACAATTTAAAAAAACTGTATTTCTCACATGAACAAAATTATTAGAAATTACAGTGTTATAAGAAACACTGTTTTTTAAAAAGCTACCCTCCACCAAATATTGTATATTAAAGGGCAACTGCTCCACCATGCAGCTGTGTGACTACAAACTACAGAAAACAAGCCTAGACTATGCATAAAGAATAGATTAGTAATTGCATATTATTATACCTTCAGTTTGTTTAAACAGGGAGCAAATGCATTTAAACAACATAAATTTGTTTTGGCAGTAGTACCCTTTTTCAAGATTTCACTTCTTTTCTGTACATATATATATTTCTTTTGCTTCACACCTTATACTATTTACATATTCAAATTATGAGAAACACTACTTCTACTTATCAAAGACTGATTTCATTACTTTACGGCACTCAGTGTGGCATGCTCTGAAAGGGGCAATTCTGCATTCCCCCACACAACCTTCCCATGTTCCTATTTTTCTCTTCTGTGCTAGGACTACAACTTAGACAGCATCTTCCTAAGCTGGATGGAGGAACTGATCCAGCTGAAAATAAACCTTGCCATGAAAACAAAACCAAACAAGCCAAATCAATAGCAACAAAACATGCTCATCATCTGGCTGCATAAACCCTATTTACCAGAAAAAGAAAGGAGTGGAAATCTACAGATGAAGGTGCAAGAGATGCTGAGACAGTCATTTTCAGCATAAAACCAGACTCACAATGGCTTAAAACTAAAACTAAGGTACTCTTTGAAGTTCTGAAGCACTGTTTATACAAGATGCCTTACAGATTTTGTTATGCTTGACCTACAGATTGGATAAAGACAGAACACACTTTTCATCCTTTGAAGCTCCATGGGTTTTTGGAATAGCTGTGAACATTATTAACAGAGCTCTTTAGCTAGAGATGCTTTGAGGGACAATGGCATAAAATAATTTTTTAAGCCTATGTTTATATATATATGTACCAAATCAAACAAATTACTGGATTGTTCAACTTCCAAGAATAACAATAATCTTTTTAAGATCCCTCCCTGTCAACAAAGCCTTTCTCACTGTATGACCTGAAGTCAAAGACTGTGACCCATCTACAACCTCATTTTCAACCACCTATGTAAATTTCTATTTCACAACCATGCTGGAATGTGAAGAGATATGCAACTATATACCCTCCAACTTCTTCTGTTGCAGGGGAAAAAAAGAGATTGGCAAAAGCAATGGCCTTACAGAATTGAAAAACATTATAAAAAAGCATTTTTGTTCACTTGGTTATTTCATGTAACATGATCCACATAATATTATTCTATTTCAAGGATGAATGATCATTAATTCTCTGTACAGAATTATTACAATTTACTGTTGTTTTACTGCCACAGAAATAGACAATGCAGAAATTAATCACCACAAAATTAAAAAGGAACTACGTGCTCCACCTATATATCTGTCATTTTCCTTACATTCTGACCATTTATATGGTGTACATTTTACAACAGAATGAATGATGCATTAGTATCACAGATAGCAACCACAGACCATTTAAAGTTTTTTTTTATCATGTTAGAATTTCTACTGTATTTCAGAGCACAGCAATGTTGTCTTCCAATTTAAATGGTAATGAAAGATGCAATATTTCATATATATATATATAGTGTGTGTATATATATGTGTGTATATATATATGAGATTTAATAAATTTTCCCCTAAGGAAAACTTATTGCATCTTTGCCTTCTGTTGAATTGAAGGGAAAACTTGGGGCGTATGTACACACACACGTTAGTGAAAAGACTAACACTGTATGCACTGAGGCTATTTAATCACATGCATGACAATGTCATAATGCATACCCCTCTTTCTACTGAAAGAAGGATACCAAGAAACTAAAAGAAAAAAAGGTGAACAATTATACAACAAGGCTAAGAAAATTACTCTTAAGTACACAGGTATTTTCTGTCATATGGAAATCCTAAATATGAGAAACCAAGAGAAAGCCCATGATTTTGCAGGATGGAAATTAGAAAATATAAAAAAGAATTTCAGAGCAGATAGTCACTGACATAAAAAGCAAATAAAGTAAAATAAATCACTTGGGGAAGCGAGTGATTCAACAGAATTAATGGAGAAAATGGCATTTAAAGAAAAGCCAAATTAACCCTTTAGACAAAATACGTTATGAAGACAACTAACTGGAAACATTCACTCCAAAGAATGAGGAAGAACTGTCAGAGGCTGATGTGCAAGTCTTGAAGGAAGTGGAAAACACTTGAAACATAATAAAATCAATCGACTCTTTGAAAAAAGAAAGCAAGATAAAGGACCACCAACTGATGGTAGTCATGAAGAAGTGTTTCCTATTATACCATTATTATAGCACACTTTCTTGCATCTTGGGCAGTCTTCATTTTGAGAAGCCTCAAACAGGTCAAATCACAGTCTTAAACTGAACAATCCGCATATGTATGTATGACTGAATACAGTAGTTAATTTTGTCATATTTAACTGCATACATTTAAAAAAAAAGTGCTATCATTTCTTAACTTATGCAGAAGTTTGTGTTTCTTATTATTGATACAGATATTTCATCATCTGTGCTAAAAACCCTTTGGAAATGTGTTTCTGTATACTAACCAGGAAAAGACCAACACACCATAAAGAACATAGAACTTTTGGCTGCTGGGTATGAAAAAGGCGTTTTAAACCCCAAATTTAGGACCTAAATTTCTGATGCAGTGAATGAAAATAAAAGGGTACCTGAGTATAGAATTCATAGTCTGAATGCCTATACCAATACACTTGTCAGTAAAGCATTAGGGCTACAAGTAGTCAAGGACTACTGCATTTTGCATCCAGTTCTCAACATTTATGAGCCACAGAGACATTTAGAGAAGAAAGGTCCACACACAAATCAGAACTATCTCCAACATCCTAAACAAGTTAATCAGTCTTTGTACCAAGGATAAAACCCTTGACAATGGAAGTTTGTCACAACAAGGCAGCAGCAGCAATCCAACTTAGTATTAGTCCTGAGCCCCAGCAGGCAGGAGTCTTGTAGAATCAGCTGAACCATTTCAGCCATGAAAAGTGATATTCACCTACAAAAAGTGAATTGCAACTCATCCTGCAATGGAAGACAAAACTTCTTAATGTCCCTGCCAAAATTCATTAGAAAAAATGCACTTTCATCCTAAATCTGAGCATTAGCTGAATAACTGTTCAAGTCAGCTCAATCGTTCACTTCTAAGTTTTGCTGAAATATTGAGCGGTGTGTTGGAAATCCTACCTCCCACCTAGACACTGATGTCTGCCTACTGCCTTAAATTAAGAACCTGAGTGAGTCTAGAGAAAACCAAACTAAATGAAATCCACAGTTGGAAACCTCTCACACAGCCTTAGGAGCCTAATTAATTTCCTCAGATATATCTGATCTGATCACTCTTCACTTCTAAGACGACAACTGCAGTAGGAAAAGGTGATGTTGCTAACATCAGCGTTTAATGTAACTGTCCAGTGCTTAGAGGTCTTGCCAATTAAGTGGAGGCCTCTATTGTGAGCTCTTTTCATTGAAAGGCAACTCAAACACAATCACCTTTTATTTCCTGTGAGAAGACCCTGACTGCTAGTTAGAGTAGGGGTAAGGCACTTCCTATTTTGCGTATCAGATCTGTGTCAAAGAGTATTTACGATTTTCAGGCCCAGAAAGAGAAGAAAGAGTATAGCTTTTCAATTGAGGGATGGATGTATAAGTGACTGAATGTGGACATACACGAGAATGAGCTTGTGCACACATGCATGTGCATACAGAGTGGGAGGAAAGAGACAGTCTACCAGACTGCTCTTGCATTTGTCATGACAGAATTACTGAACACAGGCTGGAAGGAAGAGGAGACCAGCATTCCTCATACTAGGCAAAGCTGTTCCTAACTAGACTACAGAATCATATTTCCTCCATTTTAGTCCCTCTCTCAGGCCCTGTGAATCTTAAAGAATGAACTCTTAAGATACAGGCAACTACATTCCGGCTAAAGTGTACTTTAAACATGCTCATACTGTTTCAGATTCACCTTTCATTCAAACTGCTAAACAATATGCTCCTAAAGAAGAGAAAATTTTACATGCTGAGTTTTTCACTCAATACCTTTCAACATAGATGTTCTTCCCAGTCCCAAGGGAATAGAGGCTACAAAGAATTCTGTAACATGAAACTTGTACATCACCCACTAGAGGAAAATAAGAAATAAATTATCAGTATTTATTGAACTAAAGACTACTTTCCAAATATTAAACATCTGTTTTATGCAATATGGTAAACGGTGTTTAAAACTTTTAGCATATGTATCACTGAACGTTCTAGGCTGTCAATACTCCACACATGCATTATTTATAACGAATTTCTCTGATACCTGGTCTGCCATCTAAATTGATTCATAAACTTAACACATCATCAGACATTGCAAGAGGCCAGCAGATACTTGCTAATAAGATATTGCAGAGTACAATTTTACGTTAAACCGTATCAGTCTGTGTGTCTGACCTCTAGGAATATGATCTAAAGGCTCCACACCTCTTTAGAGAAAAGCCTTTCAATGACTATCCATCTTTTAATTATCTTCTGGGTGATCACAGTTCCAAAGCAAACATATATAAAAGCTTGG